TTCCATAGGGCCTAGCACCGTTTCGGTGCTCGGTCCCTAATAATAAACGGAGCAATTCCAATAGGGCCTACGCACCGTTTCGGTGCTCGGTCCCTAATAATAATAATAATAATAATAATAATAATAATAAAAAACGGAGCAATTCCAATAGGGCCTACGCACCGTTTCGGTGCTCGGTCCCTAATAAACGGAGCAATTCCAATAGGGCCTTGCACCGTTCGGTGCTCGGTCCCTAATAAACAGAGCAATTCCAATAGGGCCTACGCACCGTTTCGGTGCTCGGTCCCTAATAATTAAAGCTGCAAGCAGCGATGATAGGGACCTCGCACCCGGGCTCACCGCCGCCCGGTGACCTTACGATGACAGAGAACAGCGAACAATAATAATTTAAGCCAATATATAAAAAAAGATCTAAGAAAATCACAGATTTATACCAAACTTCCTCCTGTCAGCAGGTGGCGCTATAACTGTGACTTAAGATTGGCATGTAGATGTCTTCCGGAGAGGAATCTTATCAACCATGTGAATTTTCAGGCAGGTCAAACATTGTGTGGCTGAGTTATAAGCCAAACTTCCGGTTGCCAGCAGGTGGCGCTATGACTAACTCAATATTGTTATGTGGATGTGTTTAGGAGAGGACTTTTATCAACCATGTGTAGTTTCAGGCAGATCGGACATTGTGTGGTTGAGTTATAAGGACTTCCTGGTCAATGGCGAAGCGTTGAGGTTTGTCATGCCGCCACGGACACGCCCCTATCCGAAAACTCTAGATCTTCGCAATTTAACATCGCCAAGGCCTTTAGATGACAAAACCAAATTTTGGTGTTGATCGGATAAAATCCCTAGGAGGAGTTCGTTAAAATACTACGCCTGGAAATGGCAAAAACGCCACTTTTTTACAGCAGGAAGTAAAAAATATCTGACTTCCTGTTGAGTTTGAGATATGGCTCCAAGAGACTTTTTCGTATGTTTTGGCATGTTTGAGGTGTGTGCCAATTTTCGTTCATGTGTGTGATACGTATATCAGGGGCTCGTCCGATTAATTTTGGTAGGTGGCGCTGTCGAGTCTATTTGCCACGCCCACTTCAATATTGTTATGTGGATGTGTTCAGGAGAGGACTTTTATCAACCATGTGAAGTTTCAGGCAGATCGGACATTGTGTGGTTGAATTATAAAGCCTTCCTGGTCAATGGCGAAGCGTTGAGGTTTGTCATGCCGCCACGGACACGCCCCTCTCCGAAACTCTAGATCTTCACAATATATCATCGCTAGAGCTTTCAGATGACACCACTCTATTTTGGTGCTGATACGGGAAAGTTTGTGGGAGGAGTTTGTTAGAGTGTCAAACATGTCATTTCCTGTGGCCAGCAGGTGGCGCTATAACTGTAATTGGATATCGGCACGTAAACCTGGTTAGGTCAGGACTGTTATTAAATGTGTGAATTTTGAGGCAGATCGGATAATGCATGCAGAGTTATAACGACTTCCTGTTTTGTGGCGAATCATCAAAGTTTGCGAGGCCGCCACGGACACACCCATCGATGAAAACTCTAAAGCTTCGCAATTTAACATCACCAAGGCTTTAAGATGACAAAACCCAATTTTGGTGTTTATCAGATAAAATCCCTAGGAGGAGTTCGTTAAAATACAACGCCTGGAAATGGCAAAAGCGCCACTTTTTCGTCACAGGAAGTTAAAAATATCCGACTTCCTGTTGGGTTTGAGATATGGCTCCAAGAGACTTTTTCATATGTTTTGGCATGTTTGAGGTGTGTGCCAATTTTTGTGCATGTGCGTGATTCGTAGATCGGGGGCTCGTCCATTTAATTTTTCTAGGTGGCGCTGTCCAGTCATTTTGCCACGCCCACTTCAATATTGTTATGTGGATGTGTTCAAGAGATGACGTTTATCAACCATGTGAAGTTTCAGGCAGATCGGACATTGTTTGGTTGTGTTATAAGGACTTCCTGTTCCATGGCGAAGCGTTGAGGTTTGTCATACCGCCACGGACACGCCCCTCCGCAAAAACTCTAGATCTCTACAATATATCATCGCTAGAGCTTTCAGATGACACCACTCAATTTTGGTGTTGATACGATAAAATTTGTGGGAGGAGTTTGTTACTCCGTAAATCATGTCATTTCCTGTGGCCAGCAGGTGGCGCTGTAACTGTATCTGGATATTGGCATGTAAACGTGTTCAGGTCAGGACGCTTATCAAGCGTGTGGATTTTGAGGCAGATCGGGTAATGCATGCCTGAGTTATAACGACTTCCTCTTTTGTGGCGAATCGTCAAAGTTTGCGAGGCCGCTACGGACACGCCCATCGATGAAAACTCTAAAGCTTCGCAATTTAACATCGCCAAGGCCTTTAGATGACAAAACCCAATTTTGGTGTCGATCGGATAAAATCCCTAGGAGGAGTTCGTTAAAATACAACGCCTGGAAATGGCAAAAACGCCACTTTTTCGCCGCAGGAAGTTAAAAATATCCGACTTCCTGTTGGGTTTGAGATATGGCTCCAAGAGACTTTTTCGTATGTTTTGGTGTGTTTGAGGTGTGTGCCAATTTTCGTGCATGTGCGTGATTCGTGGATCGGGGGCTCGTCCGTTTAATTTTTCTAGGTGGCGCTGTCGAGTCATTTTGCCACGGCCACTTCCGAAGCCCATAACAAACGTAAATTTTCGCCACTTCTGAGGCGTGTGCAAAGTTGCGTGAGTTTTCGGGCATGTTTAGCCCCTCAAAACCGCGATTCATTCCGCGGAAGAAGAAGAAGAAGAAGAAGAAGAAGAAGAATAATAAACGGAGCAATTCCAATAGGGCCTACGCACCGTTTCGGTGCTCGGTCCCTAAATATAATCAATAACAAGCATAATGTCCCATGTCTGCACTGTTTTGGGTTTAGTTTAGTATTTCTTAGTTTGGCTAGTTGCCTTTTGTACTTGTTGATTTGTTTGTCTGGTTACTCATTGGTTAACTGATTATGTTCACCTGCCGATTGTTGTTTTTATGCACATTTAGCCTTGTTTTTCTTCTTTTTGAGTATTTAGTTGATTGTGGTTCTTCTCAGATATTTTTCTTTTCTCGTATTTGTTTGTCATTTTATTTATTTATTTATTTATAAAACTTCCTGTTGCTTCTGGAATCCACATATGCAGTACTTTAATGTGCGCAAACTACATTGTGACAGGTAAAACACAATGTATACAACTATGAAGTAATGAATTAAAAAGTAAAACAAGTACTGAATGTTCCTACTGAGTGCCATTTGTTGATATAAACTAGCTTAGAGTGCCATCTGCTGATAGAAACTAGTCTACAGCACCGACTGATGTTAAAATCTAGCCTAGAGTGCCATCTGCTTTTAAAATCTAGCCTAGAGCACTGTCTGCTGTTAGAAACTAGCCTAGAGCACTGTCTGCTGTTAGAAACTAGCCTAGAGCACCATCCGCTGTTAGAAACTAGCCTAGAGCGCCGTCTGCTGTTAGAAACTAGCCTAGAGCCCCATCTGTTTGTAAAAACTAGCGTAAACTTCAGTCGGTTGTTATAAGCTAGCCTAGAGTGCTATCTGCTGTTCTAAACTAGCCCTGAGCACCATCTGCTGATATAAACTAGCCTAGAGCACCATCTGCTGTTAGAAACTCACCTAGAGTGCCTTCTGTTGGTAAAAACTAGCCTAGACCACCTTTTGTTGTTAGAAACTAGCTTAGAGCGCCGTCTTTTAAAAAAAAACTAGCCTAGAGTGCTGTCTGTTGTTAGAAACTAGCCTAGAGCACCATTTGTTTGTAAAAACTAGCCTAGAGCGCCGTCTGCTGTCAGAAACTAGCCTAGAGTGCCTTCTGCTGTTAGAAGCTAGCCTAGTGTGTGCCATCTGTTGGTAAAAACTAGTCACACAAAATAAATTCATTTGATTTATTGAAATGTCACAATTTTCATCCAAAAGTATTAAATATTAATATGCATTAACATGTCATAGTCATCGTTTTACAAAAATGACTTAAATTGCTTATCGTTTTACTTTCATACTGTTGTATAGCAGATGTAAACAGAACAAACACATTTTCCCACTGTTACACATCTTTATCTGTGTATGATGACAGATTTTCAAAGAGCACCTGAACACGCGGGTGGTCCTGGTCGCTGTGGAGATCTGGACAGACAAGGATCGCATTCCCGTTAGTGTGACCCCCTTCGAAATGCTGCGAAACTTTTCCAAATACCGACAGCAGCACATCAGGCAGCACGCGGACACAGTTCAACTATTCTCGTAAGTTCATGTTTGTTAAAGCTGTGCTTTTGCATCAATCCTGTTCTATATCTATCGCTATTTTCTCTTTAATTGCTTCTGAGCTTCATTTTTAACAGCAGATGGTGCTATAGGCTAGTTTGAGAGAAAGTAGTCTAGAACGATGTTAAAAACTAGCCTAGAGCGCCGTTTGCTCTTAAAAACTAGCCTAGAGTGACATGTGCTGTTAAAAACTAGCCTAGAGCACTGTCTGCTGAGACAAAAGTAGTCTAGAACAATGTTAAAAACTAGCCTAGAGCACCATCTGCTGATATATACTAGCATAGAGCGCCGTCTGCTGTTAGAAACTAGCTTAGAGCGCCATCTGTTGGTAAAAACTAGCCTAGAGTTCCGTCTGCTGTAAAAACTAGCCTAGAGTGCCACCTGCTGTTTAAAACTAGCCTAGACTACCGTTTGCTGTTAGAAACTAGCCTAGAGAATCATCAGCTGTCAGAAACTATCCTAGAGTGCCATCTGTTTTTAAAAACTAGCCTAGAGTTCCATTTGTTGTTATAACCTAGTCTGAAGTGCCGTCTGTTGGTAAAAACTAGCCTAGAGTGACGTCTGCTGTTAAAAACTAGCTTAGAGCTCCATCCGCTGTTAAAAACTAGCCAAGAGTGATGTCTGCTGTTAAAAACTAGCTTAGAGTGACATCTACTGTTTAAAAACTAGCCTAGAGCGCCATCTGCTGTTAAAACTAGCCTAGAGCGTCGCCTGCTGTTAAACACTAGCCTAGAGCGATGTCTGCTGTTAAAACTAGCCTAAAGCACCGTCTGCTGTTAAACACTAGCCTAGAGCGCCATCTGCTGTTAAAACTAGCCTAGAGTGCCGTCTGCTGTTAAACACTAGCCTAGAGCGATGTCTGCTGTTAAAACTAGCCTAGAGCGCCATCTGCTGTTAAAACTAGACTAGAGTGCCGTCTGCTGTTAAACACTAGCCTAGAGCGATGTCTGCTGTTAAAACTAGCCTAGAGCGCCATCTACTGTTAAAACTAGCCTAGATTGATGTCTGCGAAGCTAACCTAGAGTGCCGCTTGTAGAGCGTCATCTGCTGTTAGAAACTACCCTAGAGCACCATCTGCTTTTAGAAACTAGCCTAGAGCACTGTCTGCTATTAAAAACTAGTCTAGAGCGCCGTCTGCTGTTAGAAAGTAGCCTAGAGCGCCGTCTGCCGTTAAAAACTAGTCTAGAGCGCCGTGTGTTGTTAGAAACTAGCCTAGAGCTCCGCCGTCTGCTGTTTGAAACTAGTCTAGAGCGTCGAATCAATTCAAGAGAGACTAGTGATTTCTGAATCCATCTGTGAATGAATTTCTCAAAGTATTGTGTGTTTGTGTTTAGGAACGTGACGTTTCACTATCCTCGGAGCAGCGCAGCGTATTTTGGAGGGATGTGTTCAGCGAGTCATGGAGTCGGAGTCATTGAGGTGAGTGAATCACATTTACAGTAGATTGAATGACAGCAGACATCCTGAATCAGGAGCTGAACTCATCAGTAATGGGACCTCTGCTGGCAAAACAATCTACATGTGCGCAGGCTGATCCTGTCCAAAGAGGGGAAATATGAGATCAAACATTTAAATCTAATGGACCCTTACCACAATACTGGTAAGCCCTGTCCCCTCACAGCAAGAGGGTCGCTGGTTTGAGTCCTGGCTGGGTCAGTTGGGGTTTCTGTGTGGAGTTTGCAGGTTCTCCCCGTGTTGGTGTGGGTTTCCTCCGCGTGCTTCGGTTTCCCCCACAGTCTTAACACATGCGCTATTGGGGAATTGATGAACTAAAACGGCCGTAGTGTATGAGAGTGTGAATGCTGGAAGGTCATTCGCTGTATTAAACATATGCTGGAATAGTTGGCGGTTCATTCCGCTGTGGTGAACCCTGATTAATGAAGAGACTAAGCCGCAGGAAAATTAATAAACAATCGAGGCAATTTGCTGTTAAATCTGCTGTAACGTAGAGCGCCATCTGATGATAAAACTAGCCTAGAGCACCATCTGCTGTTAAAACTAGGCTAGAGCGCCATCGGATGTTAAAACTAGCCTAGAGCAACGTCTGCTGTTAAAACTAGCCTAGAGCGACGTCTGCTGTTAAAACTAGCCTAGAGCGCCATCTGCTGTTAAAACTAGCCTAGAGCGCCATCTGATGTTAAAACTAGCCTAAAGCGCCATCTGATGTTAAAACTAGCCTAGAGCGACGTCTGCTGTTAAAACTAGCCTAGAGCGACGTCTGCTGTTAAAACTAGCCTAGAGCGCCATCTGATGTTAAAACTAGCCTAGAGCGACGTCTGCTGTTAAAACTAGCCTAGAGCGACGTCTGCTGTTAAAACTAGCCAAGAGCGCCATCTGATGTTAAAACTAGCCTAGAGCGACGTCTGCTGTTAAAACTAGCCTAGAGCGACGTCTGCTGTTAAAACTAGCCAAGAGCGCCATCTGATGTTAAAACTAGCCTAGAGCGACGTCTGCTGTTAAAACTAGTCAGAGCGCCGTCTGCTGTTAAAACTAGCCTAGAGCGATGTCTGCTGTTAAAGCTAGCCTAGAGCAACGTCTACTGTTAAAGCTTGCCTAAAGCATCGTCTGCTGTTAAAGCTAGCCTAGAACGATGTCTACTGTTAAAGCAAGCCTAGAGCACCGTTTGTTGTTTAAGCTAGCCTAGAGCGACGTCTGCTATTAAAACTAACCTAGAGTGCCATCTGTTGGTAGAAACTAGCCTAGAGTGACGTCTACTGTTAAAACTAACCTAGAGCGATGTATGCTGTTAAAGCTAGCCCAGAGCGACGTCTGCTTTTAAAACTAGCCTAGAGCGCCGTCTGCTGTTAAAGCTAGTCTTGATGATTGCAAATGTACCGCATCCTCAGTCAGTACACATCTCACTATACATCTGGTGTGTGTGTGTGTGTGTGTGTGTGTGTGTGTGTGTGTGTGTGTGTGTGTGTGTGTGTGTGTGTGTGCAGTATGGCACTCAGTGGACAATGGCGCTCCAGCTGTCACAGAGTTTGGCACAGAATCTTGGCATTCAGTGGGATTCAGCATCGAAGAGAAGTACACTCTCTTTCTCATAGTCTTATCTGCTTTGATACTGTCGTATATGAATATTTAGCACTGACTGTGTGTGTGTTGTGTGTTTCAGAGGACTGTGGGTGTGTGAACTCCTGGCCAGGCTGCATCATGGAGGACACTGGGTCAGACACACATACAGACATATGTTTGTATTTGATATGTTGTGATCATTTAGGCTGTTTTGATTTCACTACATGACTACATACAGTTGAAGTCAGTATTCAGAATGTAGCTGCAGAAGTTCAAATGGCTGCTTCTATATTTTTCCCCAATTTCTGTATAACAAAGAGAAGATTTTTCCAACACATTTCTAAACGTAATAGTTTTGATAACTGATTTCTAATAACTGATTTATTTTCTCTTTGTCATGATGACAGTAAATAATATTAGACTAGGTATTATTCAAGACACTAGTATTCAGCTTAAAGTGACATTAATCACTTTATAAAACAAATAAGACTTTCTCCAGAAGAACAAATATTAGAGGAAATACTGTGAAAAATTCTTTGAAATTGAATCTGTTCACTATCATTTGAAAAATATTTGTAAAATAATTAATTTCACTACAGGGTGAATAATGTTGACTTCAACTATATTTGCAGAAAAACAATCTTTTTATTTTTGTAACTTTTTTTGGTCCATTTTAATTTTTGTCCATTTTATTTTGTTTATTTTTTTTATCCTTTTTAATTAATTATTTAAATTTTTGTCCTATTTATTTATTTATTTATTTATTTATTTTGCCCTATTTATGTATTTATTTGTGTCCTTTTTATTTATCCATTTATTTTTGTCCTTTTTATTTTTTCAATTTTATTAATTTTTTTGTCCTTTATTTTTGTCAATTTAATGTTTTTTTTTTCTTTTTATTTATTTTTTGTCATTTATTTATTTATTTATTTATTTATTTTGCCTTATTTATGTATTTATTTGTGTCCTTTTTATTTTTATTTATTTTTGTCCTTTTTATTTTGTCAATTTTATAAAAATGTTTGTCCTTTATTTTTTATTTTTGCCAATTTAATGTTTTTTATTTTTATTTTTTTTATTTTTATTTTTTTTATTTATTTATTTATTTATTTATTTATTTTTGTCCTTTTAATTTTTTCCTTTTTGGTCATTTTCAATTTAAAAAATTATTATTATTTTGTCCATTTTATTCTATTTTTTCGTCTTTTATTTATTTTTTTGTCATTTTTATGTTTTTGTCTTTTTTATTTATTTATTTCTGTTCATTTGATTTTTTTGTCTGTTTAATTTTTGTTACTTGCCATTTTGTTTTTATCTTGTCCATTTTATTGAATTTTATTTTTTCCTTTATTTTTTTGTCCTTTTCTGCCGTCTCTAGATTTTTTGTAAAGTTTGAGCTGAAAATGGCACACTGATAATGTTTATTAACCCTCTGAAACTGACCCTTTTAGGCTTTGATCATGTCAAAGTCATGAGCGGATTGCTTCAGTAAAAAGTCTCTCTGTGCGTCTCTATATCTCAGAGTCCAGCACCCGCGAGCGTTCTCCAAATGCAGCATCGTCAGTTTTAAAGAGTTCCTGCTGAAGGGAGGAGGATCCTGTCTCTTTAACAAACCTAGCAAGGTCAGAGAAAACACTTTTCTATTCAACACAAGCTCATTGTGAAAATGTGCATGTTTGAGAACTGGGAAATATGTGCTCACTGGTACACATGGCTGCATTTTATATGCAAGCGGACACTTTGGAGTGATACCGCTGACTGCTTACCTCCCAAAAGTGTAGTATGATGAAAACAGTTTGCCAAAGCTAGTATTTCTGGTAGAAATTTAAAGTGTAGTAGAACTGTCCGTACTCTTACCGCTAATAGTGGCCACAGTACATTGCGCATAAATGTGAATACGATTAGAACTACAAATGCAGTAAAAAAGTGTAGATAAACTACAAACATGCCGGATGCACAAGACCAATCAAGTAGAGACGCTTTGGTAAAGTTGGTTGAATGACTGTTAAATTAATATCTAGCCCACTGGACAATATTTCGATCACGTTTTCAGGAAAGTTGGTTGAATGACTGTTGATTAATATCTAGCCCAGTGGACAATATTTCGTCACGTTTTCTGTGTTATATTTATTTTTGTATAATATAAGAAAATACTCTATCCATTGCTTTTAGTTAAAAAACAGTTCCATTCAGCCTTAAATCAGCCTTTAGGCTCGACGGTCAGGCACACTCCTGTGGATGTTGTCAATCTGGCAACCTGTGCTTGCGTGTGTTTTAAACCGGGAGTGCAATACCTAGTTCAGCCACTGGGTGTCAAACTTGCATACTGCACTTTTAAGCATTGACGTATTTGTATCTGCTGCTCAAAGCTCCACTTACCCATAAATATCCTGGTGCAAACCACTTTAAATCATTATTATCAGTCCTAATAATTTACTTTTTTTTTACTATAATGGTTTAAGTTAATGACAATCTATTGTTGTAGGTAATTATTTATGGCATGCACTGCTGGCTTTATTAATAGTTTAAAATACAGAGAGATCAGTGTGCTGCGACACATTTTATTAACAAATTTAAACAACAATTTTATAACTTACTTGTTAAGAAAACAAAAACGTCAAATCATTTATTTAAATATTAAGTGAAGACGTGTGTACGCAAGGTTTTATCAATCTCACATTTCCATCAATCTGAATGAGAAGCGCATGTTGATTTATAGGAAGGTTTCTGCGCAACATTTAATAAATAAATCTCTGTAGCCGAGAGCACATCTGCTGGAGCTCAGAAATGTTTTTTCCAGACTGCATTTCAGGATTGCTCCTCAGCACAGATTGTGAAAGCCGTTTTTTATTTATTTTTTTGTCCCACAGCTGTTTGAAGACACTGAGTGTGGGAATGGATATGTGGAAGTGGGAGAGGAGTGTGACTGTGGACCGAGAGACGTGAGTTCACACACTGGACAGCATTTCAATGACGTATGATTTATGCTGGAATATCACATGAGCTCAGGACTTTGTGTGTGTATGTGTTCGCGTGTGTGTGTGCGCGTGTGTGTGTTGTAGGAGTGCTATAAGGACTGCTGTAAGAAGTGTTCTCTGTCAAACGGTGCTCACTGCAGTGACGGGCCCTGCTGTAATAACACATGTCTGGTGAGCGTCTCTTTAATTCACCACAGACTCTTCTTAAAGACATGTTTTCATGTACTTCATTATGCAATATTTAAA